TATTTGTGTGTATGTATGTATGTATGTATTTATATATGTATGTATGTATGTATGTATGTATTTATGTATGTATTTGTGTATGTATACATACATACATACCTACATCCATTTATATATATATATCTGCGTTTTGTATATCACTTATTATAGTATGTAAGCACGCACGTCGTTAGGCACATTATCATTTTTGTATATACACTGGTCACATATAGTCGCTAGTAATAGTCATACGACTATAGTTCAACTGACGTATAAATATGCAATGACGGACTCAAGTAGGAACACATGCTATAGTGCTAGGTACAATCCAAGGATCTTTTAATCCTATATGTGTGTATGCAAATAAAATGTTGTGAGTGATCATGACCATATATACTTCCGCTACCTGGCAACATGAGCTGATCACGAATGAATGTCAGTGTATATATAATGTATAGTTCTGCATAACCTGTATGTTATATATCAGCGGACATGCCTGTATGCAGAAAACTATAAACGTGGCTCGAAGGTACACGTAAAAGCTACGGCCACCCGTGAACATATGAAAAGTCGGCGAGACAACCACAGGTTTATCTGCGTACGTAAGCCGTCCCGCCATGTGGGTGCATACACAGCAGACGCCTTCACGGGTAGTCTGCACCAAGTGTAAATGGTCTGATATCAGACAAATATAGTCGGATTAAATGGACTACATAGCTGATATTGTCGGATTAAATGGACTAAATAGCTTATATTGTCGGATTAAATGGACTACATAGCTGTTTTGTTACATGCCTCACACTGCGGGTATAGAACAGGCGCAGTAACGTTCAGACTATATCAGTGCGATGATGAGATATCAGACCAAATAAAGAAAACATCGGATGTTTAAAAAGCTGTCTCACACCCAACTCACACAGTGTATACATGCACAACAGATGTGTTGACCTGTGTAGACTGTGTCGTGCGATGGTCGGATACCAGACAATCGATGTCGGGTATTCAGTGGAAGGAGTGCTTCTCCCGCACAAGGAATCGGAAATACTGGTTCAACAGTGCCACGGGCGAGTCAACATGGACAGCACCTGAAACTGAGACCACGGTACGTCTTCTCAGTTGTATGTCATCTATTTATAGACAATAAATATAGCCAATCAAATTCAAGGAGAGCACTTCCCCGTTTAAACGTTTATTGACCATGTGTAGCTTGTGTATAGTGTACTATAGCAGTTGTACTGTATACGTGTAGTATCTGTATCGGACGAGACTTTCTGTATCGGGCGAGATGTTTTGCGGAGAAGTGTGTGCACACCTGCATGTCTGGGGAATGCGAGCAAATATAGTTTAATG